AATTTAAGGAAAGCAGGAACGAGGCCAAAATGAACATGTAGAAGTCAGAGTGAGAGAGACTGTATTCACATTTATCGCCACAATGAAAGAAAAAAACCACCCTTCTAATCCTGATTCCTAGAAAAGATGGTAAGCTCTACTGAAACGTAAGCATATGTGCATTATTCTGATGACATTTTATTCCTTCTCTTGCCTTGTTGACATTTATAACATGACCCAGTTTGGCTGAAATTACCATAGTGAAAAAGTAGCTGCATTGTGATAAGTGATTTTACCTAGACATGCTGTCTGGTTCCCACTGGTATACACACACTGACATCCCTGGGTAAGAGAGACTAATTCCTTCTACTCGTCTTTTTCATGATAAAAGGCATCGATAGTGGTTTTTTTAAATTCCTTGCTTCTAAATGTTGAAACTGAAAAGCTGTGAACGCTTGGTATCATCAATCAAGTCAGAAAACTAAGCCGTGTAATGACACAAGCTAAAAGAAAAAAACAAAAACAAAACAACCCTGAAACCAATACGTTGGGAAATAAAGATAAGAGGAATGAAATCACCTAAGTGGGTGGTCTTAGGATTTCTGGCCATGTTCCCTGTTCCCCGCAGGTAACAGCGGACTGGCGCTGGGAGGCATCTGAGACAGGACATAAATGCAGAATTTCAAGGACAAGACTGTTCTAGGTTAAATGACCAGGAAGTATACATGGAATAAAAAGTCTCTGCAGGTAGCACCACATTACAGATGTAAAATCAAGGAGTCTTTCAAAGATACCATGAAAGATAGAAAAAACAAAGTGGAAGAGGTCCTCAAAGGAACTGATGGAAAAGGTGGAGGAGAGGTAATCATGACCAATGTACGACAAAGTTATTAGAATTACTACTGGCAATAAGGCTGTCTGCTCCAAAAAACCCAAGCCTTGGTGACTGAAATGCAAAGTTCCATCGAGGAGGAAGCTAGTTGGGTAAGAGAAAAGAATTTCTGTCTGTGGCCTGAATCTAATATTTAAGTAAGGAGTTTTTAAAAAAAAAAAAAAAATTTAAGTTTATTTGAGAAAGAGAGAGAGAGCACAAGTGGGGGAGGGTCAGAGAGAAGTAGAGACAGAATCCCAAGCAGGCTCTGCAACATCAGTGCAGGACCTGATGGGGGGCTTGAACTCACAAACCATGAGACCATGACCTGGGCCTAAAGTAAGAGTTGGACATTTAACTGACTGCACCACCAGGTGCCCCAGGATTCATTTAAAACAATTTTTTTAAGGTTTTTTTATTTTTGAAAGACAAAGAAAGACAGAGCATGAGTCAGGGAGGGGCAGAGAGAGAGGGAGACACAGAATCTGAAGCAGGCTCCAGGCTCTGAGCTGTCAGCACAGAGCCCAATGTGGGACTCGAACTCCCAAGACGTGAGATCACGACCTAAACCCAAGTCAGACACTTAACCGACAGAGCCACCCAGGCACCGCCCCCTCCCCGCCCCGCCCCAGGATTCCTTTTAAATGTTCAACTCTGACTTATGCCAAGAAGAGTGAACCCATCGTACTGATAGCAAAGGGTGCTGCTTCCCACCCTCGTGAAGCAGAAAGGCCAAAGAGAGTGAGAGTCAGAGTGAGCAGAAGAGGCCCACTTCCCAACACCTTGGGCTTTGGGCACAGAAATAATGTGAATTTGTGCAAAATCAAAGTGAAGTTAGACAAAGGCTGACGATGGGTGTTTAATGTCTAAACTGTCAAGATCAGCAACTTGCCTACATGATAAATTCTTAATACTATATGAGGGGGTATAATAAATCATAACTGCAATTTTGATGAACCAATATGGAATTTCAGGGCGGCTGAAGTCACACTGGGACCCAGGGGTCCTGGATGTTTGTGGTGGGATGGGATGGGATGGGATGGGAGAGCAGGAACATCACCAGTGGGTGTATGGCCTGACCCGCACAGGGAGTGGAAGCCTGACGGTACCTCGCAGGAGGTAAGGACGTGTGAGGGAAAAAGGGCTAGGGCTGGGCCTATAGACAAAAGTTGTTTTCAGAGGATTCTGAGAGACCCGGTGTCCAAGCACAGCGGCATTTATTAAAGTGAACGCAATGCCATTTTGGAAGCTCCAAAAGACCTCAACAGACAGCATCTTAATGAGAAAGAGCCCCCAAGGCATGCACTACAGAGGTGGTGGCGAGGGTCTACCCTCCGGTGAATCCATGACAAGAGTAAGGGATTATGCGGAGGGGGGTGCACGAGTGAAACTGCCCTGGGGGCTACCAGAATAAACTGGGGTACACTTTACAGGGAGGTGACAGGTAGGACATGAACCAAGACCACAAGGCTATGATCATTCATGTGTGTGCACGTGAACCCCCAGAATGGTGTGCCTTGAGCCTCTGAGAATGCTCTAGTCTGACAGATGTCATTAAGGGAGAGGGGATCATTCTGCAAAGAGTGGAGGTCAGGGTAAGAGTACATGCCCTAGAACACACTTCTAATTCTAGAACACTTAGAAAAGTAGCCTTCTTCCCTGACACTTTATAGCATCTCTCGTGGGTACCATTGGGGGCAGTGGTGGTGGTAGTTTTCTGAACCATGATGATGGAAACCGCAACCGAGGACACCTGCCTAGTGCCAGCTGCCGTAGAAAACACTTTGTTAGGCATTAACTCACTTAAGTCTCACAAGGATGTTGGGAGGAAGGTGCTGCTATGATTTAACCTCGCTTGATTAATTGGAACTGAGCTTAGAATCTGTCCAAGGTTCCGTGGAAGGTAAGGGACAGCAGGAGCTTAGGGATGTTTTGGCCAGAGCTGTGCTCCAGAAGCATGTTTTGTTTGGCAGCCTGACTGAGACTCCACAGAGCAGAACCCTGAGAGTATCATTACCCAAGGCGAGAAGCAGGGACAGGGCCATGGCCATGAGCCAGGACCCCAGGCTCCCCGCTGAGGCTAACCATGGTAGAGTTCAAGTATTCTGAGTAGGGCTATGCGGTACTTAAAGTGTTCCTTCAATATGCTGGAATTCTCTAGGTGTTCCATCCATACCGAGGAGTCACCACTCCTCAGGATAAGGGCAGAAGATGAATCTCCTCCAACTCAAGTGGCCTGGAGTGAGGCTAAGAAAGGAGACTAAAGTCTTGTCAGGATGACCTCCAGTTTCTTCTCCAACCTTAGGAACTCAGCCGTCCTCAGTTCACGAGTGGGAATGTGGGTCCCCCAACTTGAATCCTCCCCACAACCTTACCACGTGAATATGCCCAACTGTCTGTGCTCCACTTTGGACCCAACCACCACTTGGCTTCTAAAAAGTGAAAGTTGGAAAATGTTTGCCACCTGAATTATAAAACTCTGTATGCACTCCAAAGGAAATGGACCACATAAATTCCTCAAAATAAGCAATAAATGGTAAGCATACATGACAGGAAATGGCACAAATGAGAAGACTGCATACAAAACAGTCATGCTATTTTATGTACAATCATTTAAAAACGGTAAGTCTTTAAGCAGAACATAATTTCAGCTGATAAGTAGTCTGGAACACTGACACTTAAATTTTTAAGACACATTTATAGTCTAATGTTACATACTGAATGCTATATCTAATAAAGGCAAAATAAATTTATGGCCACATTTAAAATGCAAGATTAGATAAAATCGATTACGTTTTACAGGTTTGTTTCCCCTCCTACAGACTCTCTAGCTTAAGCTGAGTTCAACTTGTCCAAAAAACAAAAAACTTTTTCATCCAAGCGGTTGGTAAAAAGTGAATGCTTACTATGGACCAGACAGTGTGTTTAGGATCTCTTACCGTCACAAAATTTAGAAAGACAAAAATACAAGGAAATAGGCAAATAGAACTGCAAGCTGTAATAACAGGTAGAAAAGAAAGTAACAATGGCCCAGGATGGACATGGTGTTCACGGCACACCTTTCTAAGTATATCTCTTTGAGTTAAGAAAAGGTATCATAAGCCACAGAAAAGAGTCTGATGTTATACTAAGTACAACGGAGAGTTACTGAAAAGTGTTTTAGGCAGGGAGTGAGGTTATCTACATAACATTCTAAGAGGGTCAACTTTTAACCATGTAACAGTGGATTAGAGAGGAAAGTGAGGATTGGGAAAGTCAAAGAACTATGACGCTTTGGAACAGGTGGCAATAGATATGAGAGGATAAGTGGATTCAAGGTATAATTTGAAGAGAGAAGCAATATGGCGAAAAGCTGGATGGGGGAATGCATGAAAGGAACTGAGGAATGAGTCCTGCCTTGAGTAAACTTAAGGTAATAGTGCACCAAATGGTAAAACTCTTCAAAACAAACATCTTCCAAGTCCCAGTGTACTCAAAGGGCTTTTTAGAAAAAGAGCTATTATTTAGGACAGGACTAGTTAAAGAAAGAAGGAAGGGAGGGAGAGAGGGAGAGACAGCAGGAATCGATGCCATTATTTGGGGCATTCTGATATCCCAAGCTTATGTTACAACACTGGATGGTTGATTCTTGTTATTTATCTGCCCATCTCCACATCTATTTTCCATTTAGTAGATAATTTGCATGAAGCAGGCATACTCTATAATTAAAATGAAATTAAAATTAGTTCCAGGTTGGAATGAATTTCTTCTACAGTTTTTAGAAAAAAAAACACAACCACATACTTACTGATGTTTCATTCCAAGTAAATTTTAAAAATATATATTTTGCAGCTTATGGATACTCTGGTAACTGAAGAAACCAAAGAAGCTGTATGTGCTAATCAAATTGAGATATACAGAGTAAGAGAACTGTATAATTTTGAGGAGGGATGGCTTCTAGAAACGGACATGAAATCTTTCTTTTCTTTAAGTTTATTTATTTTTGAAAGAGACAAAGTCAGCGTGAATGTGGGGGTGGGGGGGTGGGAGAGAGAGGGGGGAGGGAGAGAGAGGGGGGAGGGAGAGAGAATCTCAATAGGCTCTGTGATGTCACACAGAGCCTGACACGGGGGGGGGGGGGGGGGGCTTAAACTCAGGCAACCATGAGATTGTGACCTGAGCCAAAACCAAGAGTCACAGGCTTAACTGACTTAGCCGCCCAAGTGCCCCAGGATATGAAAGCTTCTTAGAAGTCACATCACTCTAAGTTTCTGAGGAGGAAGTGGACTTAGGTAAAACAAAACAGGTGGGGAAGCAACGTTCAAAAACTAGTTCTGATACTGCCCATTAGTATTAAACCATGTGAAGTATTTTACCTGGCTGTACTTAAGTAGATTGTAGTACTAATCATCTGTTCTCCTTCCAACTGTGAAACTCACGAACTTCATGGAACTATGTTAAAATAACTAATAATAGAGGTAATATGTTGGAAAAGTGGGAGAAACAAAATTCCTACTCTTCTTAAAGAAAACACTCCCCTATCAAAGGACAATAACATAACATTACTGTTTACTGACTTTACCTGGAAACAGTCAATAAACTCCGAGTAGATATATTCATAGTTGCAATGCTAGTCACTGCAGAAAACCTAAAAATGGGTTAGTTCACAAGAGAATAAAATGTTCAACCACAGAGCAGGACCAAAAATTTTCCTTTGAGAATAAAAATATCTGCCTTGCCTTTTAATTCTAAGTTCTCCAATAACCACCAAGTCCAATGCCAAGCTATTTTCCAACCAAACGCCTAGAAATCTGACAGCGGTGAAGAATGAATAGTGGCTAGAGCTGTACTATTAAATGCACATACACACAAATTTATGGAAGCTGGGGAGAGCCTGTTGGCTAAAATAAAAATGTGCTATCCCTTTAAAAAAAAAAGTATAAACTATCAACATGGAAGTGGAAGAGCTGATGTATAAGTTAATATCTAAAAACTTCTCTTAAATTATATTGAGTGTTGAGAATTTTGTTTTTGTTTTTAATATGCATTATTAAAATCAACAGGGATGATTAAGTTCATGTTCTGGTCATGACTGAAGTGGCCACACAAAATGCCAGAGACAACACTGATAAAACACTAGATTAATGCAAACAAACTACATAGAGGCACTGCCTCCACTCTTAACAATGTACAGGTAGTTTTGGAATGTGAAATACAGTAAGAGAGAAAAATGGAAAGCAAACACATTTGCAAACAAGTCAAGTGTTTGTATTCTCAGACAACATGACCCTGTGTGTAGAAAACCCTGAGAAATTCACCCCCTCCAAAAACTACTCGAACTCAGAAACACACTGAGGAACGTCACGGGTTACAAGGCCCATGTAAATTGTATCTCTATGGACAACCAACAATTCAAAAGTGAAATTGAGAAAATAATTCTACTCCTAAGAGCTTCTAAGAAAATAAAATCCTTAGCAATAAATTTACCAACAAAAGCGTAACATCTATTTACTGAAAGCTACTAAGCCGATTTATATATATATGTGTGTATATATATATATATATGAAAATGCAAAGAATGTAAAGGAGGCAAAATAATTTTGAGAAAGGAAGGTAGAAAGAATTATATAACCCAATTTCAAAAACCTGCTATAAAGCTACAGTAATGCAGACTATGTGGCATTGGTTTAAAGAAGGACATTTAAATCAATGCAGCATAACAGAGAGTCCAGAAATAAACCCTTCCATTCATGATGAACTGATTTTAGACAAAGGTACCACCAGGGAATTATAGGAAAGGAAGCAGAGACCATACAACTACCTAACTGTCCCAACACTCTGTGCTGAAAGACTATCCTTTCCTCCATAAAACTATAAAACTTCAGGAAGAAAATACAGGGGGGGAAAAAAAACCTTTTTTTAAAGTTTTTTATTTGGAGAGAGAGAGAGTATGAGCAGGGAAGGGGCAGAGAGAGGGAGAGAGACAATCCCAAACAGGCTCCATGTTGTCAGCACAGAGCCCGATGCAGGGCTTGATCTCACGTGAGATCATGACCTGAGCTGACACCAAGAGCCTGGGTGGCTCAGTCAGTTGAGTCTGACTCTTGATTATGGCTCAGGTCATGATCCCAGGGTTGTGGGATGGAGTCCTGAGTCGGGCTCCGGGCTGAACGTGGAGCCTGCTTTGAATTCTTGCTCTTTCTCCCTCTGCTCCTGTCCCCTACCCCCTGCTTGTGCTCTCTCTAAAATCAAAATCAAAATATAAATAAGTAAGTAAGTAAATAAATAAATAAATATTTGATGAATAAATGGCATTCGGACAAAATATGAATAACCATACTCATTTCTTGCTTCACCTATTATTTTATAGTGAAAATTTTTCTCCCTGGTATATAAATTTTTTTTAATGTTTTATTTATTTCTAGGAGAGAGAGAGACAGCGTGAGCAGGGGAGGGTCAGAGAGAGAGGGAGTCACAGACTGAAACAGGCTCCAGGCTCTGAGCTGGCAGTCAGCACAGAGCCCGACGCGGGGCTCGAACCCACGAACCGCGAGATCATGACCCAAGGAAAAGTCGGACGCTTAACTGACTAAGCCACCCAGGCGCCCCAACCTGGTATATAAATTTAACTTACTTTACATTCATCATTACTGAATACGTAGAAATATGCTAACATTTCCAAAGTAGATCCTAGATTTCACTTCTTCATGCTTTCTCTTGTTTTTTATTTTCTATAAAGAAAAAAAATCATTTAATATAGAATATATCTGACTCCTGTAAAGATGTGCAATGTAGAATTTACATGTGGACAGCAAAAATACAGTGAAAGATGTCAGCTTGAAAGAAATAACAAACACAGATAAATAAAACTAAAATAACACAAAATACTATTAAATATTTTATATAGTTTACTTAAAAGCAGTCTGCCAACACCAATCAACTAAAATAACCATAACATTAAAAAAAAGCCTAAATTTTTTTCTTTTGAATTCTAGTTTCTTTTGTGAACAAAAAGGCCAAATGAATAACTGAGGTAATTTCTTGTAAGGTTATCTTTCTGTCCAACCTTATGTTCCTGAACAGAACATTCAATTTGTTCATGAAACACTGTGTCCATTTATGATCACAAGGAGATTCTATTCTACTTTTAAAACCACATTCCCATTTAACGAGATGAGTCAGTGAGTCCATGTAAAACCCTTTGGAATATAAGAGTCTGATAGTCTAACAGGTACAGAAACCGTAATTGTTAACCAAAATAATTCTAATCCATGTTACAATTTTTCATGTTTTCACCAACAGAGGTTTCAGGATAAGTGGATTTCCAAATTAAACTTTAATTAAAATTTAATTCCAACAGTCAAAACCTACTTTTCTTAAGATCCACATAAACCATCTTACTGTTTATTCTTTTCAATTCGGGAACATTTTCATGAAAATAGAGTAGCAGGCTTAAATTGAGCTCAATTATCCCTAAATAGTAAGGCATCACGATTTCTTCTTGATTGTACTCTGTGCCCTTCCCAACTCCTGAACACCCCAGGGATCAGTCACAAGTTTTCCTCCCTTGATCCCATGTCTATTTCGAATATAATGTACACTCTCAGCAATGCTGGCTGGTGCACTAGGCATCCCCACACCCATTTCCTCACCAAAGGACATACACGTATCAAGAAGCTCCATACATCTTCTCATATACCTGTGCAGGTCTATTTCTGGTCTTGTTTCCTTGTTGAACTGTCTTCCCATCTGTTTATCTATCTAGTTATTTTTCCTCTGGGAAGAAGAAAAATCTTGGAAAATAAAGGACTCCGTAAATTGAACCCTACTTCCTTCTTGACTTACAACCCATTTAAACAAAGAACAGTGGCTGAAACAAACATAACATCCAAAATAACTGGGAGAGCCACCTCAAACAGAGCTTATTAAGTTGAAAGTACAAAAAAATGGTTCTTACTTAAAGAACCATTTTATAAAAACAGAAGCTATCCTGAAACTTTCAAAGAGTGACAGTATACCTTTCGATCCATATCGAAACGTGGCCTGTGCTATGTATACGTTATCTCTAAGTAGTGAGATGTAGGCATTGATACCTTTTCTTTCCAAAGGTAAACACCGGTAATTAGTATTATAAATCTCAGAAGTCTTTTTCATAGCATTTCTATAGATCTGGAGAACACAGGCTCATATCAGGACTCTGGGACCGACTGGGTGTGTGAACATGAGTGACCGTATCACCATGAATATTCTCGGCAGTAAGATGAAGGGATTGGTATTTATTTAGAAGACAGTCTGTCTTTAAAAAAAACAAAAACAAGACCCTTTACATATTCCCATGGGACAATAAGGGTAAGCTCTTATTACCTACTGCTTAAAAACATGAACGACCAGATGTTATGCAAATTCAAAAACTGAACTGTTCCACTGGTGACTTAGAGAAGTTATGAAATAAATGAGTATACGTGAAAATCTGAAACAGCAGCTGTGTATTATATTATTTTTCAGTGTTCAGATACTGAACACAGAGTCCAAGGCCATCAGCTCAGAAACAGTGATCTATACAAATACCTCCCAATCATCTCCTAACATTCCCAAAATTTATGATTCTATGATACCTACCTCTTCCAGGCAAGAACAGAATGGAATGAAAGAATCACAAGGCAAAGATTAAGTATGGTCAACTCTTCATCAACCACTAGGACATTTTCTGGTACCTCAGAAGAGTTCCTCTGCTTCCTGGCTGAATGCCCCATAATGCATCTTAAGTCTTCACTCCTGAAGACCATGAATGGAATGGAGTATGTCTGAGATTCTCAAAATGTGGCCTTGTTATCTGAGACTGTAATACCTGATAATGCTCTATAGGTAATTATAGATGACTCTGGATGTACTGTTATGTCTTAGTATCTAACCTCTGCCCCTTTTATGAGGCCTCTCTGCTGCTGAAGAACTAACAAGGGGCACTGGGTGGCTTAGTTGTTTAAGCATTTGACTCTTAATTTCGGATCAGGTCATGATCTCACTGTTCAGGAGATTGAGCCCCACATTGGGCTGTGTGCTGACAGCGCAGAGCTTATTTGGGATTCTCTCTTTCCCTCTCTCCCTGCCCCTTCCCTGCTCATTCTCTCTCCCTCTCCCTCTCTCTCTCAATAAATAAGCTATATATGAAAAAAGAAAATAACCAACAACAGCTGCCAAACCAACAATAGCTTCCTGTCTGTCACAGGAAACTTCAGCTTTGATGCCTGGCTTTCGAAGACGGCATAATCTGGGCTCCAGCCACATAGGCAAACAAATCTGACATAAGCTTAAGACCAAAACCTGGCAGAGAGTATAAATAAGAAAAACCTGAGACTAATTTCATTCCTTAATACAGTTAAAAAAAAAAAAAAAAAAGCTAAACCGTCATCAAATTATCATCAAATCCACTGGGGTTTTAAAAAACAAAATAAAATACCAGAATTAATTAGAGCCTATGCAAGAATAACATGATGATTCAAGGATAGGAAAATAATCAATATAATTCATGGTTTCATAAAATAAAAGCCATCAGTATAGGATACAAAATCCCAAGACGTAACGCATAGGGGCCAAGTAGGACTTGGTGGATTTAGTGGGTAGGTTTTGTTCCGTTTCCTATAGCTGCTCTTGCAAATGACCACAAACCTGATGGCTGAAACAACAGAAATGTATGCACTCAGCATACAGCAGTCGGCAAACAGCTGCACTGGGCCCAACCCTTAGTGTCTCACAGGACTGTGCTCTCTGGGAAACGGCTTTGGGATTCCTTCACTTGCGGCCCTGTCACTCCAGTGTCTACCCCAGGGATCCCATCGACTTCTCCTAGTACGTCTGTCACATCTCCCTCTGCCTCTCGAAAGAAATCTGTGATTATGCTTACAGCCTACCCAGATTCTGCAGAATAATCTCTACAACTCAAGATCTTTAACTTCATCAAATCTGCAGAGATGCTTTTCCTTATTAGATAATGTGTCCAAGGTCCAGGGATTCATACCTGATATATGGGGGGAGCCATTTTTCTACTTGCCACACTTTTCCTTAAAAAACAAAACAAAAGAAAAAAACACACAACTTTCTTCTCCGTATTAGTTTGCTAGAGCCGCTGTACAAAATACCACAGACAGGGTGGCTTAAACAACAGAAATTTTCTTGCACAGTTCTGGAAGAAATTCCAGATCAGAAGCCAGCAGGTGGGTTTCTCCCGAGGCCTCTCCTTGGCTTGCAGGTCGCCCGGCCCTTCTGTGGGTTGTCTTCACATGGCCTCTTCTGTGCACGTGTATCCTTGATCTCTCTTCCTCTTCTTAAAAGGACACTAGTCCTATTGGATCAGGGACCCACCCTTACGACTTCAATTAACCTTAATTACCTCTTTAAAGGACCTGTCTCCAAATATAATTGCATTAGGGGCTCGGGCTTCAGCATATGAATTTTGGGGAAATAACGAGAGTCCTTAACACTCTCTAAAGAAGGTTCATGTGGGGGAAGAGTCAAAGCCTCAGTCAAGATTGGTTAAAATGTTCTAATAATAGGGGTACCTGGGTGGCTCAGCTGGTTAAGTGTCTGACTTCAGCTCAATCATGATCTCTGAGTTCATGAGTTCAAGCCCTGTGTAGGACCCTGTGCTGATAGCTCAGGGCCTGGAGCCTGCTTTGGACTCTGTGTCTCCTTGTCTCTCTGTCTCTCCCCTGCTTGTGCTGTCTCTCTCTCTCAAAAATAAATAAACATTTAAAAAAATGTTCTAATGGTAAAAAATTAAAGGCAAGTTTTTTTTTGAGCTCTTTATTGCTCTACCACCCAAGACTTGCCCTAAAGGGTTCTCTCAGGGCCTATTCTTTTTTCTACCTTGTCTTAGAAGAGACTGCTTCCTAGATATCTGGTCCACTTTCCCTGTTTCCCCCAAATTTATGCCAAACCTGGATTAAGGAAACTCCTAAAGGCAGCCTAGGTACAGTTCCTAAAGGTCCAAATAAAGACCTATTAATTATGTTTACTAAGTTGGATCAACTTTAGAAAATTGTTTTCTATTTTTTTAAAAAAATTTTTAATGTTTTTATTTATTTCTGAGAAAGAGAGCGTGAGTGGGGGAGGGTCAGAGAAAGAGGGAGACACAGAATCCGAAACAGGCTCCAGGCTCAGGCTCCTGAGCTAGCTGTCAGCACAGAGCCCGACGTGGGGCTTGAACCCACGAACCGTGAGATCATGACCTGAGCTGAAGTCGGCCGCCCAACCAACTGAGCCACCCAGGCGCCCCATCCTATTTTCGTTAGTATCCTCAGAAACTGTGTAAGGCAAACCCGTTTCTAACAGTGTAAATTTGTAAACAACCCCAATCTACACAGAAGGGAATATATGTAAGGAGTTTACTGTTAAGAGTGGTTGATTTGGGGTAGTGGAACTGCGGGAAATTTTTTTTCCTTATTTCTACTGTCTGTATTTTCTAAATCTTCCATAATGGCCATCTAATAATTTCAGAATTAAAACAAAACCTTTCTGTAAAAATATATAAATCACTGTTTCTTTTTTAAAAATGTTTTTAATGCTTATTTATTTTTGAGAGAGAGGGAGACACAGAATCCGAAGCAGGCTCCAGGCTCCGAGCTGGAGCTGTCAGCACAGAGCCTGATGTGGGGCTTGAACTCAAGAATCCTGAGATCATGACCTAAGCCAAAGTCGAACGCTCAACCAATTGAGCCACCTAGGCGCCCCATAAATCACTTAATGGCTATTTAATCACTGTGTTTACTTATAAGTATCTTTAAAAGGATCTATTAAAACTTATCCTTGCTCAAATATTTGTAAATCCTACAATCCTAATTTAAAAGTTTTCACCTTTGTGTTACTTAAGTTTGTAGTGCAGGATTTAAAAAAGGTAATGAAAAGCTTGAACAGAATTACAATTCCATTCTGGTATGTTTAAATTTTTATCCACTTTCAAAAGTTCCATGCTAGACATGCATAAAATTAACTGCTGATTAACTGTGCTATTTATAATAATGTTGGTGAAAACATGGGTCTTCTTTAAAGTATAACCAAATTCTCTAAAAACTGTATCTATGAGAATATCAGATTTGTCTTATGTTTCTTCTGAAAGCACAAAAAAAAAAACCTTTGTGGTTTATGTAAAGGATGTACACATATCCACACTGTAAATATTCTGGGGAATCAGCTTTTTTCATTTTTATAATGAAGACAGTTGAGCAGTGAGTAAAATAATCTGAATTAAGAGAAACACAACAGGAAATATTACAAAGAAAAACTCTGGAGAAGTTCCGATTTTCTCCTGAATGTGAAATCTGATCAGTTTGCTATCTATTCTTTTTTCCAATAATGAAAACTTTAGGTCATGTTTAAAAATACACATCAAAGGAAAAAGGGTTTCCTTAACATTAAACTGCTTCTTTTGTCTGCAAAAACACAGAATCCAAAAATATTGGACACTGTGTTCTTTTAGGATTAAACCGCTAATCTAACTGGAGAAAATTATCAGAGTTGTAAGGGTCTGTGATGTCTTACTTCAGAACAACTGTACCTTGATATTAAATTCTGTAAATGATAAGGCTTTTCCTTTCCCACAGGACAGCCAGCCTCAATGGGAGACTTTCTATTCTAACCTTGATAGGAAGAAGTAAAAAAAAAAAACAACAAAAAAACACAACCAAAAAACCCTGTTTTTCTTCACAGCACTCAGTATATCCTCCGATACTTATACCCAAATTTCCTTACAAAGGAAATCTTCAAGGAAAAAATAAAAAGTTCTGCACTGATCTACAAATAATTAGGCAATATTAAGATATCAATAATAAACAAATGAGAATAAGGGCAAAAGCCATTTATTTATTTATTTAATTTTAATGTCTATTTATTGAGAGGAAGAGTGTGAGCAGGGGAGGGGCAATCCAAAGCAGTTTTTGTCAGCACAGAGCCGGACGCAGAACTCGAACTCAAAAACCACAAGATCATGACCTGAGCCTAGTGGGACACTTAACCAACTGAACCATCCAGGCGCCCCAAAAGCCATTTATTTTTAAACTCAACACTATACCTGCATAAGCAAAATACTGAATAAAATCCTCACCAACATCTTTTTAACCGTCCCATTTTATAAAAGTTACATGTAACAGAGCTTCACTCAGTATTATTTCTTTTGTACTCGTCTCAACGAAATGAACTTGACCATAATGCATCAATGCTAGCTATAGTACTTAAAATATTCTGAGGTATTCTCTTTAATGTAGATAAACTTTCTTTGTATACTTACATCTTTATAGAATACTGAAGACAGATATTAAAACTACATAAAGCATTGTTCACATTTTATACACCACATTCACTGACATGGCATTTGCATTAAGATATGAATTCACATAAAGAATACCAATAAATTATGAAAAGGCCACGAAATGTAAAATCAAAATGGCCCTGATAAATAAAGCCCCACAGTATCTTCATTTCTCCCGATGTATATGCTGTCTATCAAGGAAATAGATGGCGAATGTTTATTCAATGAAAAAGACCTCTGAAGAGGTTAGGAATGCATTGATCCTTAACCTTTCTGGATTTATAGGCTTGATAGTCCTCGTAAATGCTACAGGCCTCTTCACAGAAAAAAAATGTGTATGCAAATAGACACAAAATATAGCAGACAATCTTAGGAGCCTCACAGACCTTCTGAACACAGAATCTGTACCCTTACAAAGACTCTTGATATTCAACGATTATTTTCATGGTGACCCAAAGGGCCAGGTCCTGGGATAATTTGTCATTTTGCTGAAGCACACATTTGAATTACACTAAAATAAAGTTCAAAGACCGATGTTAAGGAGCAAGCCCCCCAGCTAGTGGAGGGTGTGGGCTGGCATTCACATCTCAGTTGGACTCTAGCAACTTTATGACTCATCGTTAGTACAATCATTATCAAGAAGCACTTTAGTGGCAATTATTAATATATTCTGAGGGTCTTTGAATTTCTAATAAAAAGAGTACACTGTGCTTTTCTATATCCTGAGGCTCCTCAACAAGTTATGTTGATAGTGATTCTCTAAATGAAAGCAGGCTTATAAAAGATAACCAATAAAAATAAATATATTATCTCCATAGATGGTCATTCATTAACATACTTACTAAATACCTATTTTCTAGAAGGTTCTTGCTAGTCATTGTGTAGTTTGGAGAGATAAATAAAAAAATACAAACTCAATCTTCTACTAGCATTCAATATTATCCACTATGTTTATTTCTAAAAATACTGACCACAAAGAACCACAGGGCTCAAGTTTTATTATGGACACCTTAAAACAAGTACTCAGAAGTGTCAGATATATCTACTATATTCTTCAATTCCTATAATCATGAAAGTTCTAACATGGGTTTGCTGATAATCGCCTTCAGTGTCGGCACTAACTTATGTCATATGAAGATAAATCATGAGAAATCTGATTAGTCTTCTTAAAAGAAACAAGGTTGGGATCATAAAACATGATGAATTCATGATCTGATTTCAACAACATGCCAAGAGAAATTTCTTAAAATAGTGCATGGTGGGTACATTTGTTTCTTTGATCAGAAGTTCACTTTCACTTATTCCCCTGGCCTATGCTTTACACCCTCCTTTATCCATCTCCCCAACCAGCATGCTTTCACTCTGCACATGCATGGTGTTTCAGCATCTCTTACTGGTACCTCATTTTTTTAAAAAAATGTTTTATTTATGTTGGAGAGAAAGAGACAGACAGACATAGAATCTGAAGCAGGCTCAAGGCTCCGAGCTGTCAGCACAGAGCCCGACACGGGGCCCAAACTCAAGAACTGTGAGATCATGACCTGAGCCAAAGTCAGATGCTCAACCAACTGAGCCACCAAGGTGCTCCTGGGGCCTCATTTCTAATCTTCAATTCTTCTGCTAGTGTCCACGCAAAAAGTTCCGGCCGCAGGCACCCAGAGCCACCCCCAGTGGCATAGAAATGTGGATTTATTTAATCCTACTCCTCAAAAGGCATAAGGGTGCCTGCAGAGTGTTCTAGGAACACTGCTCCTGTTCCTAGAACTTCGTGTAGTGGAAAGCAGTTTCTGGTTTTTCAAACAGGAGCTCAGGCTGTACTTCCTAAACAAGCCTCTGCTACAGATGGTTGCTCACTCTATGTACTATATACATCACTCTTAGTTACATGACGGATCAAGTCAACCTGTGAGAGCTGGGATGGAAATCCAAATAACACATGTCAGATTGTTTTTCAGGAGAAATAAGTTAGAATTCATGTATTGATAGTTTACTAAGTATGCTGGGCATGAGGTCCTGACCTTAGCTGTTTACATATATTCTCATTTAATCAACACAATGACACAGGAGTTATCACTACTTACCAAGTTGTAAGAAAACCAGAAGAAGGTAAGTTAACTTGCCAGGGCTGGGATTCAAATGTAGTTCTATCTGATCCATGTCTTTTCTCTTAACTGCTAAACATCATTGTCTTTTATGGATATTTCAAGTTTTAAACATCACTGTATAATATAATCATTAATATCACTGTATAATATATTTTATGAGTTGTTGATTGTGTGTATGGGTCAAATGTAGTTTGTTCATTCATTTTTAAAGTTTATTTTACTTATTTTAAGAGAGAGTGGGGGAGGAGAGCATAGGAGGGGCAGAGAGAGAGGAAGAGAAACCCAAGCAGGCTCCACGCTGTCAGCATGAAGTGTGATGTGGGGCTTGAACCTGCAAACTGTGAGATCATGATCTGAGCCAAAATCAAGAATTGGATGCTTAACCAACTGAGAGCCACCCAGGTGTCCCTAAAATGTGGTTTAAAACAGAGACGTATCAAACTTTTTTTGATTTTCAAACTCCCTGTATTTAAAATTCTGCATATATTTGAAAAAGCAATTGAAAAATGTCTATATATGTGACTTGAACCCTACTAGAAATTCCACAAATTTATATGACTTACTAATAAGTAAAGACAGCAAGCTAAATAATAACCATTACCAAATTCTTTTCTTTAACATGATCTCCTGGTAATGTATCAGGCAACAGACTGAAATTCTGCTAACTTAATTGCAATTTCAAATAACATTAATTCATATACTTTACTTTTCTTCCCCTAAATCTCCAGTCAAATCCTTGCAAATGAAAGGAAACATACTGTATTGTTTTCTCTGTAGAGATACTATTGAGCAATGAGAGTGTTTCAGACTTGCTACTTTCACTATATTTAAAAAAATACTGTTGTACTGTTTTAAAATTTTACAAAATTGTTGCCAAACTGTACACTTCATTTTGCAACTTGCTTAAAAAAAGTCAGCACTGCTTTTTGAAATTTATCTCTGAAGGTAACACAGAGGTCAAGTTCTTCCACTTTAACTGTTCTTTCTCATGGTACAAAGAGACCTCTTTAATTATCAGCTTAGAATAGGCCATCACATTGTTTCACTCTGTCACTATCAGAGATGTAATGACCATCCTATACATGTACAATGCTTTCTGTGTTGACACCTGGAGGCGTGAACTTCAGGCTAATAGGTTTGTGCATCTCCAAAATTCCTAGGTAACTGCAGGGCGCCTGGGGGACTCCGTCGGTTGGGCATCCGACTTCAGCTCAGGTCATGATCTCAGGGTTCGTGAGTTCAAGCCCCACGTCGGGCTCTGTGCTGACAGCTCAGAGCCTGAAGTCTCCTTCAGAGTCTGTGTTCCCTCTCTCTCTGCCCCTCTCCTACTCATGTTCTATCTCTCAAAAATAAACAAACATTAAAAAATTAAAAAAAAATAAAGTGCCTATACCAATTTCCTTTGCCACCAGAAATGTATAAAGAGTTCTCATTTCCCTACATAAATATTTGGCAATATGAAGCCTTCACATTTTTGTCAACTTGATGGGTATGTCAAATGCTATCTCATCCATGTTGGGTTTATCACTCCATTGGTTCATCAGTGAAATTTACTGCTGATACAAAATTTTATTTTTCTTAGTGCTGACAGTGCATTGAGATGATGTTTACATATTCCAATGGTCACTTTGAAGTTGCTATAATTTAAAAGATTTAAAAATTAAACTTTTAAGTCTGGAAATCTAATTTCTCCCTCGTAACATGTTCTAGTGTTGCCTCAGTTAGGACAATATCTGTTAAAAAGTGCTTGGTATATTCATCACAAACTTCCCCGGTTTTGAGGATTCTACTAATTAAAAAGAAAAGTACTTCTAAGTTTTATGCTATATAAATGTTTGGCATTTATGACAAAGGGCAATATTAAAGACATTAAAAGTACTTACAATGTCATCTTTTTACACACACCTCAATAAAATTAATCATTCCAGCTTCTGCTTCCTGAAAGGATTTTATACATCATTTATGTTACTCAGCCCAATGTTGGTTTGTTGCTCCTTCATTAAGTTGGGTCTTCCTAGGCTAGGATTGTTGTGTTGTAATATCTTTAAATACAAAATGCATCTTTAAGGTACAAAACATCAGAGCACCTCAAAAAGTTTTTCATGTCCCCTTCCAGTGCTATGCCTTCAAGAGTGAACACTATCCTGACATCTAACAACACAGATCTGAACTTTATAGAAGTAAAATTATAGAACACATGTTCTTTTGCCTTTCACTCAACATTGTAACCGGGTGATTTACCCATGGTGTTAAATATAGCTGTGGTACTTACACTGTCATTGGTGTGTAGTATTTCTCTGTATCACCATACCACAGTTTACCCATTCTACTGTTCATGGGCACTGGGTAGTTTGTACGCTGCAGCCCTC